CTCCTCTCCTAAGTTTAGTTACCGTATCAAAAAAAGGAAATAAAAAAGGAATCAAAGTCAAGCTCACTAGCTTATACTGTGTAGTCTTTGTTCCCCTCCCTTTTTTTGGTGATTATCAGATTCAATGTTTTCGTTCCTAGAGAAGGAAACTGAAACCTAGAGTATTTAAGTGATTCTTCTAAGATTCCATAGATTTTAAGTAGCAGTTCTAAGATGTGACCTTAATCCTTTGGTTTTCCTCTAGAATCCAGTGATTTCCCTATTTCCCGCCACCTCCCACCCCCATACCACACTGCCTTCCTTTGTACATAGAGATAAAGGTAATTATTTTCCAATGTAAACTACATAACTAAATTTTATTAGAGCCCTCACAGAAGAATTAAGTTCAACATACTAATTGTTGATATAGTACTCTCACTCCATTAACCTTAGGTTGGGATCAGTGTGTAAGATCCTTCCCTACTATGAAAATAGATTTCCTGGAGGGAAAAGTCTCAGACAAGAAGGTCAGTCCCCCTGCTTTTCAGTCAATCAGCTTTTCGACCCTAAGTTAAGTCTCCATTTGCTCCATTCATCCTTTTTATTGTTTTCTCTTTTCTTTTACAAGGCAGGATTTTCTCGTATTCTTAGAGTGAATCATTCATTAACTCATGAAAAATGCCACCACCACCACCCCAAATGCCACCTACAGATCATAAAACATTCTCATTTATTTAGGGGGCATTTTAACTCTTAACTGATTAGGATAAGCATCATTTTAGGTAGCATCACTACACTGGACCTGAAGTCAGGAAAACCTCACTTAAAATCTGACCATGGCTTGGACACTTACTAGCTGTGTGACCCTAGGCAAATTTCCTCATCTGTAAAGTGGGGATAATAATAGCATCTCTCTTCCAGGATTGTCATGAGATCAAATGAGATAATATTTGTAAAGTGCTTAGCACAGTGCCTAGCACATAATAAGCACTATGTAAATGTTAGCTATTATTATTATTGATTATAATCAGAATAGAGGCAGCAGAAACTAGTGGATAGTGTGCTAGAATTTGAGTTAAGATCTGGATTCATATCTCATCTTTTACATTTCCTAGCTATGTAACTCTGAACAATTTCTATGTGCCTCTAATGATCTTTTAGTATTTAACTACTAATTCTTAATTTAAAGGGGTCATAATCTGAGTTTGTAGAATGAGTTCTATGGAACTCATCAAGCATTCCTCAAGCTGATGAAATAACTGTTCCCAAAAAATAGTTGAAGCTACAAGATTAAAAGTAATACAGTTGAGGCCATTCTTAATATGATAAGAAATATATCTAAAGACAAAAGTTAGCATTATTTATAGTAGGCATGCACTAGAAGCTTAGACAATACATACAGAAGTAAAGCAAGGGTGTCTTCTTTTCCCATTTTTATTCAATATAGTTTTAGATAAGTTAGTAATAGCAAATTGGGCAGCTGGGCATCACAGTGTTTAGAGTGCCAAGTCTAGGGTTGGGAAGATTCATCTTCCTAACTTCAAACCTGGTCTCAAACAATTACTAGCTATGTGACCCTGGGCAAGTTATTTCACTTTCTTTATCTCAGTTTCCTCATCTGTAAAATGAGTTGGAGAAAAAATGGCAAACCATTCCAGTACCTTTGCCAAGAAAACCCCAAATGAGATCACAAAGAGTCAGACTCAACTGAAAACAACAGAGCAAGTCATAGAAACTAGACAAGAAAAAGAAATTAAAGCTATAAACAAAGACAAAGAGGAGACAAAATGTCTTTGCTGATTACAAACTGGCAATTCATTTAGAAAACACAGAGAATCAACAAAGAAATTAATAGAGCTAAGAGCTTTAGTAAAGTATCAGGATGCAAAAAAAAAAAATCCATGGAAATCATACATTTCTTTTCAAAGTTTCATCTGTAGGCTTTTGAGAGTCCTCCAAACCCTTTAATGGGGGCCACAAGGTCAAAACTATCTTCATAATAATACTGACATAATTTACTTATGAAAGTACTTCCTCCTTTTCTAACTACATATCTGTGGGAAGCCAGATTTTCTTCATATAATTCAACCAAAATAACCTATCACAACATATTGAATTCAGAAGCAGATATGAGAATCCAGCTGTCTTTTGGTAAGCCAGATATTAAAGAGATTTGCAAAAATATGTAAAAGAATGTCACTCTTCTTACTAATTTTTTTCTTTTGACAAATAGTTATTTTTCATAAAAATATGTTATTTATGTTCATATGTAATGGGTTTATTATTTTAAATTATTTAATAAATAAACTATCAGTTTTTATTTCAAATATGGTAAATATCAATAGATATAAGTCACATAAACAATAGTTCTTTGCATTTTAAAGAATGTTAAGGGGTCCTGATACCAAAAAGTTCAAGAACTGTGCTATACAGCAATAACAAAATCCAGTAGGAAATAATAGAAGGGGAACTCCTATTTAAAATGATTACAAAATGTACCTGGGAGTCAGTCTACCAAGGTACTCTCAAGACATTACAATTATAAAATATTCCTTAAACAAAACTGAATGCTGTGAAATTATAATGACTACAATATGCCCCTGGAGGAGAGATAAGAATATGTATTCCCTCCCTTCTTTGGAGAGGCAGGACACTATGGATATAGAATATTGCATATACTTTCAGACTTGCTTTACTTGTTGGTTAGTTTTGCTGAACTGTCTTTTTTCTCTTTTAATTCTCAGTTACAAGGGATGATTCACAGTTTAAGGAATCAGGAGGGACATTTTCAGAAATGAAAGTGATATAAAAACCAACAAAAATCAGAAAACAATTTTTGAATAGAAATAAAGTTATATCCATTTTTAGAGAAAAGATAAAAGAGTAAAGGGATGGTGGGTGGGGTAGGAATCTTTGTACATGTACCCTTAATCACATAGTACCCATCATACCAAAACCTATTCAAGTTTTTATGGGTTTCTTACCCTCCAATAACCTTTAAGCTCAGTCAGTAGAATGTAAGATCCTTAGAGAAATGAGCCATTTCTTTTTTTTTCCTCTTTTTTTTTTATCTCTGCATCCCCAGTGCTGACCACAATGGCTGATACATGGAAGTGCTTAATGCATTCACGTTCAGTTGAATTTGGGGGTTTAGAAAAAGGGAAGAAGAAAGTATGGTGAATTACTAGAAGCTACATGAAAACTTCTCACACTAAGGAAAATTTTGAAGGCTCCATCACTGGACCATTCTCAAAGGCCCTAATACAAAACAGATTCACTTCTATCAGATCAGTTTTATGGCTCATGGGAAAATCATTTAATCTCTTTTTATTCAATTTCTTCATCTACACAGTGAAGATAATATCTACATTACCAACCTCACAGAGTTGAGGTTCAAATGAGATTAAGTATGTGAAATGCTTTATAAAGTATAAAATACTATATAAATATCACCTATTATTATTATAGGTTTCCTTCTCTGTTGGTGTCTCACTGAAGTATTGTCAGTACTGATAGAATAAATAATAGGCTTTGAGTTTCCTTCAAATGCACTGTTTTAGCAAAGCTGTTCAGCACTTTTGGTGTGGTCTTGCAAATAAGTAACAATACTGCACCAGCCCTCTTTATTTTGTTTGTTTTTATTACCTCTTAGCATGAAAGGCAGTTCGACAGGTAGCAGATGCAATCAAATCAGCATTCCTTGCTAGTTTTCTGACTAAGGTCCTCATAAGGAGCTATTTTCAGAGCTGTTACAATGGTTTAAGAAAAGCCCCATCCCATCTTGACAGTTGAATGCTTGTTGATGAGACCTTTTATTTTTCCATATCCACTAAACATAAGTATTGCATTCAGGCTCAAGGGACCTTCTTTCTGATTGAAGCCCTGACCCCATGTTACAAAACCATCACTTGTGAATATGTCACTGTCATGGCACAAGATGGGCCCTTTTCCAATTTGTCTCCATTCTGTTTTGGGACTGAATATTAGGCAGATGTTTCCCCAGCTACTAGTTGTCACCTCAGTGTCCCTGGGACCAGATATAATGTTTTTGGTTCCTCTAGCTACTTTTCTTAGAAAACCTAGGAATCCACTACATCGCTGCAATTCAGTGTCCAGAAACAGCATAAGGAATTAGCACAGGGAGGAATACTTTGAAGGTAGTTCTGCCAACTCCTTCCTTTTGGATTTCTTAAACACTTTCAACTGAGTTTCATTTTAAAACTTTGATGTAAAAAATATCAGTTCCTGGTCTTGAAATTCAACAGCCCTGGACATTCCTGATCAAGGCACAGAAATGTCCTCTGTTCCATTTCCCAGAAGTTTTGGTCAAAGGCCTTTGGAAATGGAATGAAGGATGTGTCCAGACGGAATCAACTAATTGTTGGATTGCCCCATCCCTTCCATAAAACATCCTGATCAGATGAAGCTGAGTCATTAGTTTCATCTAGATGTGGTCAGAGTTTTTTTGTTTTTGTTTTTGTGTAATTTTAAGAATTAATTAGGATCATAGAACTGGAAAGGACTTTAGAGGTCATCTAGTCTAAACTAAGTAACATATACATAAGGAAATGGAGATTCAGAAAGGTGAATTGATTTGTCTACAGTCACAGGTAGTAATTTGTAGAACCTAGGTTGTGAACATTGGTCCTCTGACTCCAAATTCAACATTCTTTTGACTATGCTTTCTTCCCTAAAGCAAAAAACTCTGCTGTTTCCTGATTTATTTTTGGTAAAGGTTCATTTCTCTGTTATGTTCTCCAGAGCATTCCTATTGAGAACAGGGGCATCATAAATTTTCCAAGAGTCATCTTATTGGCCTGGTCTCATCTAAGAATGAACATTGTTCGAGTGTGAAAATTTCTCTCAAAATGTTTTCATGACCAGACCTTCCAGGACCATTTACATGACCTTCTACTTTTAGGTCCTACAAAGAGCTGATGGTGTTTCTCCCTATAGATGACCTGCCTGGTAAGTCTGCTTCAGAATCCTTTCACCTTATTCCATTCTGCTGTATTTCGCAGGGTTCCTATAGGAGGAGCTGGGCAGCCTCGGAATAATATTCCTGGAGGGTCTCCGCTGGCTAAAGGGATGGCAGGAGCTGCTCTTCCAGGAGGTGGAAGCCTGACCAACCCAGCCACTACTGTCAGACCCATTGTTCCACTCACTGCACCTCAGACCCATCCCCAGCACCAGGCAGCTTCTCCTCCTTTGAGCAATTGTCTGAGGCATTCAGCTCAGCAGGCAGCCAGTCAGTCTCGAAGTGCCATGCAGATAGGTAAGTATGCTGATTAACTTGTACCTGTTACTTCATATTCTGTATCATCAGGGTTTGACAGGCAGGAGTCCCTGATGCATAAGCCTTCTGAAAAAAAAATTTTTTGACCTATCTCTCAGCTAGCCTACTGTAGGGGGAAGTTTCATTTGCTTATCATAGTCATAAACTTCTGTTAATCTTGGGGAAGTTTACTTGGTTTTATCAAATTATTCTATTGCAGCAGCTGAAACAGATTAGAGAATTTACAAATATTTACACTTTTATTGTAGCCAGAGAACAGAATCGACTAATAAGATTAACACTGGCGCCTACAATCAACCCATGGATGAGGCAATAGTTGTTCAATCACACAGCACTTTCCATATGCCATCTAGTTCAAAATCTCCCAGTTAGGCAGTATATCACAGAACAGATGATAAGGAAGCCCCAGATCTCAGAGGGGCTCCATCTCAGAAGTGTGTCTAAGAACATGATGTGGGAGATTGAAGAAGATGGGTATCATATTGATGTTTTTTGTTTATGTTTCAGTCTCATCCACAGCCAGACTGACTCTGTTAAGAGGGCTAGCTTGCCTCTGGATGGCATGAGATGAAAAGAAATAATTGGGTGGGTCTTGGAGGCAAAAAAAAAAAAAGTAAACAGCTTGTTTTGAAAGCAAAGTGTTGTGCTAGTGAGTACTATGTGGGGCTGGACTCCTCTGAAGATGCTAGGGGCTGAAGTTGTATAATGATCTTAAGATGCTGTGCTAAGTAGCATGGCACTGTCAGAATAATAAAAAACACATGGATGTAACCTTGTCCCTTTTAAATGAAGCAGATTTTCCCTTTCTTTATCTTTCCTACCCCAGCCTAGGAAATGGTTGGTTGGCTTGAATTGAGATGATAGCTATTTTTAAGTATGTGAAGGGCTGTTATAGAAAAGGAGAGATTCAATTTTGGCCTCTTAGGCCTGAGAAGCCAGACTAATTTCCCTATTTGGAGAACAAAGGCAATTCTGCAGTGTGATTAAAAAAAGAAACCATGAAGCCATATACCCAGAGGGAATAGCCTGTAATCCCACCAGAGTGATGACTGGTAGAATCAGAGAAACTGGGGTAAACATATCACTGTTCATAGAACTGGTAGAGACCTGAGGGGATCATCTTGCCCACTGCATACATGAACAGACATCCCCACTACAGCATTTTCTGACAAGTGGTCATCTACTTAAAGACTTTCCAGTGATGAGGAATCTGATGAGGAAACCATCCAAGAACAACCTTTTCCATATTTTATTGTTGTTTAGTTGTTACAGTTGTGTCCAACTCTTCACGACCCCATTTGGGGTTTTCTTAGCAAAGGTACAAGAGTGGTTTGCCATTTCCTTCTCCAGTTCATTTTACAGATAAGGAAACTGAGGCAAACAGAGTTAAATGACTTGCCCAGGGTTACACAGTTCGTAAGTGTCTCAGGTCACATTTGAATTCAGGGCTTCCTGACTCCAGGCCCAGTGCTCTATCTCCATTGTGCCACCTAGTTGCACCTTTCCATATTGTGTTACTTAGTCATTTTTCACTCATGTCCAGCTCTTCATGATCCCATTTGAGGTTTTCTCAGGAAAGATATTGGAATGGTTTGCCATTTCCTTCTCCAGTTCATTTTATAGATGAGAAACTGAGGCAAACAGGGTTAAGTGATTTGTCCAAGGTCACACACCTAGTAAGTGTCTGAGACCAGCTTTGAACTCATGAAGAAGAGTCTTTCTGACTCCAGGACTCTATCCACTGTGTCACCTAGCTGCCCCTTTCATTAGACAGTTCTAATTGGGAGGCAATTTTTATTTCATGCTCTGCCAAAATCTTCCCCACTCCTAGCTTTCACCTGTTGCTTCTATGTTGTTGTTTTTTTAAATTTATTTTTCTTAACAATCATTTATTTTAAATTTTGAGTTCCAAATTATTTCCCTCCCTCCCCTCACCTACCCATTGAGAAGGCAAAAAAAAATGGGATATAAATTGTCCATATGAAATCACGCCAAACAGTTCCATATTAACCATGTTGGGGGCGGGGGGAGTAAGAAAAATAAAGTGAAAAATTATGCTTCAATCTGCACACAAAAGTTCATCAGTTTTCTCTCTGGATATAGAAAGATTTTTCTTCATGAGTCCTTTGAAACTGTCCTGGATGATTGTCTTGAACAGAATAGCTAAGTCTTTTACAGTTGACTATCATTACAATATTGCTGTTACTATGTGCAATGTTCTCCTGGTTCTGCTCACTTTACTTAGCATGAGTTCATATTAGACTTCCCAGGTTTTTCTGAAACTATTCTGCTCATCATTTCCTATAGCACAGTAGCATTGTTATAATCATATGCTACAACTTGTTCAGTCATTCCCCAATTGATGGGTATCCCCTCAATTTCCAATTCTTTGCCACCAGAAAAAGAGCTGCTATAGATATTTTTGCTATAAATAAAAACATTTTTGTACTTATAGGTCTTTTTCCTCTTTATTTGATCTCTTTGGGATACAGACCCAGTAGTGATGTTGCTGAGTCTAAGGATACAAATGATTTTATGGCCTTTTGGATATAGTTTCAAATTTCTTTCCAGAATAGTTGGATCAGTTCACAACTCCATCAATAGTGCACTAGTGTGCATTTGCAACAGTGCATTTCTACATCCTTGCCAACATTTATCATTTTCCTTTTCTGTCATATTAGCCAATCTGATAGATATGAAGTGGTACCTCAGAGTTATTTTAATTTGCATTTCTTTAATCAAAAATGATTTAGAGCATTTATTCATATGACTATAGAGAGCTTTGATTTCTTTGCTGAAAACTTCCTGTTCATGTCTTTTGACCATTTATCAATTGGGGAATGACTTGTATTTTCATAGATTTCATTCAGTTCTCTATATATTTGAGAAATGAGGCCTTTATCAAAGATGCTTATTGTGAAAAATTTCCTGTTTCCTGCTTTCTTTATAATTTTGGTTGCATTAGGTTTGTTTGTGCAAAAACTTTTAAATTTTATATAATCAAAATTATCTATTTTACATTTTGTAATGCTCTTTTTATCTTCTTTGGTCCTAAATTCTTCCCTTACCCATAAATCTGACAGATAAACTATTCCATGCTCTCTTAATTTGCTTATGTTATCAACCTTTATGTGTAAATCATGTACCCATTTTGACCTTATCTTGGTATACAGTGTGAGATGTTGGTCTATACCTAGTTTCTACCAGACTGCTTTCTGGTTTTCTCAGTAGTTTTTTGTCAAATAGTGAGTTCTTGTCCCAAAAGCTTGAATCTTTGCATTTATTAAATACTAGATTACTATGGTCACTTAATATTACTATGTATTATATACCTAATCTATTCCATTGATCTTCCACTCTATTTCTTAGCCAGTACCAGATTGTTTTCATGATTACCACTTTGTAATTCAGCTTGAGATCTGGCACTGCTATCTTCCTTAATATTTTTTTCCATTTGTTCCCTTGACATTCTTGATCTTTTGTTTTTCCAGATGAATTTTGTTATTATTTTTCCTAGCTTTATAAAATAATTTTTGGTAGTTTGATTGGCATGGCACTGAATAAGTAAATTAGGTTGAATTGTAATTTTTATCATATTTGCTCAGCTACCCATGAGCAATAATATTTCTCCAGTTGTTTAGATCTGTCTTTATTTGTGTGAAAAGTGTTTTGTATTTGTGTTCTTATAGTTCCTGAGTTCATCATGGCAGGTAGAGTCCCAAGTATTTTACATTGTCTATAGTTATTTTAAATGGAATTTCCCTATCTCTTGCTGCTGGACTTTGTTGGTAATATATAGAAATGTTGATGATTTATGTGGTTTTATTTTATGTACTGCAGCTTTGCTAAAGTTGTTCATTGTTTCAGCTAGGTCTTTAGTTGATTCTCTAGGGTTCTCTAAGTATACCTTCATATCATCTGCAAAGAGTTATAGTTTTGTTTCTTCATTGCTTTTTCTAATTCTTTCAAAATCTTTTTCTTGTCTTATTGCTATAGCTAGCATTTTTGGTATAATACTGAATCATAGTGGTGATAATGGGCATTCTTATTTCACCTTAGATCTTGTTGGGAAGGCTTATCCTCATTATAGATAATGCTTGCTGGTGGTTTTAGGTAGATACTACTTATCATTTTAAGGAAAGCTCCATTTATTCATATGCTTTCTAGTGTTTTTAATTTATAATATTATTATATCATTATAATATTCTTCACATTACTTGTTAACCAATCAGAGTCAATTGCCACCCTCAGGAACACTCACTCTTCCAAGGGCATATAAGTGTTGAGTGGATTCTATGAGGAGTCTTTGGCATTCTAGAGTGTCACTGACCCCTTTTGTTAATTATCTGCTAACATGATTAATAAATGATTAATTACCCAGAAACTATGTCTCAACATTTTATATATCATACTTAGGTCTCCTTGAGTCCATTGCTTCATCCACTATACCACAGTGTTTCGTAATAATTAGTTACCCTAGAAAATCATTCAACCCTCCATCAAAACAGCTGCATCCATAGCAATGGTAAGCAAGAAAAAATCCTCAGGTATATAGTTAAAGCATGTATAAAAATCCCTAATTGGGGGTACTAATTGAGTGTAAATAATTAAGTGTAATATTTTGTCAAAAGTTTTTTCTGCATCTATTAAGATAATCATATGTTTTTTGATATTGATATGGTCAATTATGCTGATTGTTTTCCTAATATTGAACCAGCCCTACATTCCTTGTATAAATCCCACCTGGTTATAGTATATGATCTTCATGATATCTTGCTCTAATCTCCTTGCTAGTATTTTCTTTAACATTTTTGCGTCAATATTCATTAGGGAAATTGGTCTATAGTTTCCTTTCTCAGTTTCTGTTCTTTCTAGTCTAGGTATCAGCACCACATTTATGTCATAAAAGCAATTTGGTAGGACTCTGTTGCTTCTAGTTTTTGCTTTCTCAGGCCAAAGAGGCCAAACTGAGTCCCTTC